AGCCAAGAAAGCGTCTAAGAAATAATCTTCCTCATTTTTTGAAGCGGTGTAAATATAATATTTTGCAATTCTAAAACCGTTCTGCAATTTCTAAAACCGTTACCTTATTTAAGACCAAAATCTGCGATTTTCCCTACCCTATTTATGACGTGACCACATATTCGACACCCTGTTGAAGACCTGACTTTTTAATCACTACCGTTTTGAGACCAACCTTATAATTAGTTCTCTAGTTAAAACCAATGTTAGAGGCTTTGAAAGGGCCTCTGTTGATGTTCCTATCGATAATGATGAAAAAATAGCCTCTTCTAAAAAGCTCACCAAATTCAAAATTAGAGTGCAAAACCCATACCCTGTTAGAGACCAAAATTGCCAAAATCGATACCATATTTCTGACCAAAGCGGCTAAAAAACCATACCCTTTGGGGCCGCACATACCCCTATAACCCATCTAAGGTAGTATCCCCGGGTGTTTTTACCAGTAAGATTATACTATCGAGCTGTTACAGTCCAATTTTCTTAATGATTAGACTTTCGGCATAAAATTTGTTATATCTATTTAAAAATGCCTGGTAAAGAGAAGATCTCATATGTTGGACAACAGATCTTTAAACTTCATTTCACAAAATAGCACCACAACCAACAACAAGAAACGTTAACCACTTCTTGTAGGGTAAAAACAAAAATATCTTTCTGGTCCTTTCTGCTTCAAAATTCCTCTACATTCCACCATTGTATTGAACTTTTCTCCCTCTGGTTGTAACGATAGCTTACCTATTTCCTCGATAGTAATGATCTGCTGTGTTGAACCGAGGAGGTTCTTTGCTGTGCACAAGTAATCACCAAAGTCATTTAAATCTTTTGGGGTGATCTTTATTTCCCTAAAACCAGGTTGAGACTTGAGAGGAGAAATTGTGATATCATTTCGAGTCCAGATTATATCTGGTCCTGGAACACCCTCTGCTTCGCAAGTCATTTTCGTTTCGTGATTTATCCAAGACGTACTTTTCTTTCGGACGTCGTCTTTGATCTCAGGCTTAACTAAGAAATAAAAGCAATGTTAAAGCATTCGTTGTCAGGTTAATGGTTAAGAAAAGTTGGTAAGCGTCATCTGTTAGCGGACAGTGCGGCCAGTTCATGTGGACTGTGATTATAAATTGAAATACCTTTGAAGTTCAAAATCGTAAAACCTTAGCTCTTGG